CTCCTGACCCGCCCGCTGCTCCCCTCAGCAGTGTACTTCGTCGATCTGCCTGTTTTGCTCCCCAGTCTGTCCCTGGCGAATCCTCTCACCCTCCGCATCTCTGGCCTGTACCTCAGATCTGTATGAATAAATAAATGAATCTTTAAAAAAAAAATTATAACATTTTTGTCCTATATAATTTAAAATAACACAAAGGAAAAAAATCTAGATGGTTATAGATTTAATCATTCCTATTTCAGGGAGATGAAGTCACTAGCATGACTTTTCTGCCTTAAATATTTCTGTAGTGTCTGAACTTCATTTGCAAAGTAGACAAAACTTTTCTATTGACAAAAGGTGAAAATATTTCTGTTTAAATTTAATTAGAAATATATGCATACACATATAACATAATATAAAGCTTCACAACCCACCCTTTTAATAGCTGCACAGTGCAGTTATATCATGATTTACTTAAGCAATTTACTTGATATTTACGTTGTTTCCAAATTTTCACTATTATTCTAAGAACTTATATGGAAAACTGGGACTAAATATTTGCACATATTTTTAACTATTTCCTTAAATTCCTAGAAGTAAAATTTCAGGCACAAATTGTGGGCATAATTTATAGACTTTTGACCCACATTGCAAAATTATTCCATAAAGAGTCAGTGCCAACTCACTTTCCCAACTGCAATCTGGGGATAGACTTTTCCCTCTACTTGAGCCTAAATATTACTGTTTTTTTTCTTTTTTACCAATTTGGTAAGAAAAGTGATACATTATAAGTTTTATTGGTATTTCTGTAATTGCTAAGGAAAATGATATCATTCATATTCACTGACAGGCTATTGATCACTGCTGTGTGATCTGCTTGTTATGTCTCTCATCCACTTTCCTACTGGGGTCTCCTTTCTGGTTTGCAAGTGTGCTTTCTATAACACCAGCCCTTTTTCATAAAGCAAATATATGTCATTTGTCTTTTAGTTTTGTTAAAAGAGCTTTTAATGTTCACAAAGTTTTAATTTGTATATGTTTCCTCAACCATCAAGTGTACTCAAAATTCCAAATTACTGACCTGCAAATGGGCACTTGGAAAATCACCAAGCATACAAGCATGGTCTCATACACTTGAACTTCTCTGTATGCTTCCATACCTTCTCTGCATGTAAGCTCCCTGAGGGCACTGGTTGTGATGTTTCTCAGAGCCCCCATACCAACCAGCACACAGCCGAGAACGGAGAGTTCAAACATGTCTGGGATGAAAAAAGATTGTGTTGGGGATTTGCTTTGAAGCAATCCAGTTTGGGTGGAAGATGAAAATGGAGTGAAGATGAAACAGAAACAGCCACATGTTAATCATTGCTGAAACTGGATGATGGATACATGGAGTTCATTATACTATTATTTCTACTTCTTTGTATATTTGAAAATTTCCATAATCAAAAGTTGGGTTTGTTTTTATTATTAATGGTTGCTTGATTTATTGGTCAATAGCATCAGAGAGGGGACTTCTGGAATAACAATTGTGATGAAAATGAATCACATATGCATCCAGGCCAATTTTGTAGCATAAAAAAGTTAAAAGCACAGGCCTTGGAAATTGGCAGGCCTGAATATAAATCCTTTCTCGTTTAGTGATCTTGAACTAGGGATTAGTCAACTCCTCTGAAACTTAGTCTTCCATTATAAGTGGGGTTATTATCAACTACCTCAAAATGTTCCAGTGAGGATTAATGGGTGTAAAGCTCAGAGCCTAGCACCAAGTAGCACTCAAAAAAGGATCACCGTCATGATTATTCAGTGACACAGCAGCTTGACAAGCCCCAACCAGCAGCTGATGGTGGTGGCCTGATGCCTCCCCTGCAGCTGAGACTGCAGTTCATCAGCTGGACACCGGCCCTCTGCTTGGCAGGGGACCTGGTAGGACAGATGTCAGGAGTGACATTCCTGACGCCCACAAAACAGATAAGACCACAGCAAAGAACAAAGCCCATGGTTCCTGACCTTACTCAGCGGGTCCCTGAAGAACCTTAAATCCACATTTCAGTGATGCAATCAAGAGCAAGCATGATGAAGCTCTTACAACAGCGAATCATTCTAACTTTGACCAAATACTGGCACCACCTCCAGAGCCTGAAAATACAGTATCTAGATCCCACTCTTAAAATTTAATGTGAGAGGTTCAACACCTGATGGGATTACCAGTGTTTGCACAGTTGGGGTAGTATAGTCACCTACATTTGAAGAGGTGTGAACCAATACCTCTAAATCATACACAGTGCTGTAAACTGAATCAGCCTTGATAAAAAATAATGCAATTTTATACAATTTCATCTGAGGTAAGGTGCACCATTCAGTTGTGTGGTGGGAAGGAGGGTGGGGAGAGGAAAGGACAAGGAAAAACAAAGAAATGATGCATCCCTGCATCATTATTATAACAATCCACTGCATCCCACATGAGCCTCATTAAGGCCAATCCAGCCATGTGGTCCCAAGCTGTGTCCCATGTCAGACACATCCAGCTCCATATGGCCCCTTCACTGCCCCCATAAACTTCAAGAGAGTGTTACTGCATAACAGTTCACAGGGATAAGTACATTCATAATACCAGGATGCATGCACAACAATATTAAAAGATATTAAAGAAACATAGCTGGTGTCTGCATTTTGGTCTGGGAAAAAAAAAAAAAAAAAAAAAGCCCAGCAAAATGATAGTGGAGACTGGGGGGGAGAGAGAAGCATTTTGTCTCGTCGCCTTTTGGCAGGCTGTCAATGCTACTGAAGCACACTCAAAGAGGCAGCTCACTTTGTGAAGTTATTGCAGTGTCTTTGATCAGGGGAAAAGCACATCCATTTCAATCACAGTAATGGGGATGGGAGGACTGTCTGGCTGCCCATGCCCACCGGGTGAGCCAGCCTCAAGCCTCGGACACATGGCAGTGCTTAGTGTGTCAGGCAAATGAGGGGGTCCTCGGCGGTCTCTCAGCCTTTGCTGAAGGTCAGGGGCCCTCTCATCCGGCAATTCTGCTCTGACTAATCTGCAAACACCACCTGGCAAACACCACCTGCTCGGACCTGGTCTTAACAAAACAAAAGTTGCCCAGGGGCTGTCCCATCACCGGGCAGTGGGCTCCTCAGGGCCAGGAGGGCAGGGGTCAACTGTTCTCACTAGCACACACCCTGGATCACGAAGGCCTAGAGAGAGGGGTGGGGGGAATGACTTCGTTTCTTCCCTGCTCCTCTGCCCCCAGTTCAGCTTCAGACTCATCTGAGAAAGAACTGATTTTCTCCCCTACACATGAATTCTCAGCACTGTAATTTCAAGGATGTATATACAAAGATCACCTACATTGTTTTTGCTGGAGTAAATAAAATTTAAAGAAGGAGTTCATATATTGTCAAACTTAGGGAGGGTCAACAAAAGGATTTCTTAAGGGATGTCATCCATAAAATCCTAGAAAGACTTAGTAGTAAAATCAGATAGGAGGTGGGGATGCCCGGGATGAGAATGACAGCTATTTATATAGGTTTTCGTGTTGTGTTTTATATGTGTTAACTCATTTAACCCTCACTGAAACCTAAAGAGATCAGCTGTGGTAATACTCGTTAATAACAGTAACATATTATAGCATGTACAATAATAACCATGTTTACATGTAATAATAATTGGGAAAATAATCTTCATTATTCATATAAGGATATTGTGAACCAGAGAAGTTCTGAAACCTGCCTGAGGTAGTGAGGACTAGGATCCCCACACACACCCCTTCCCACTCTGCAGTCTGGCTCTAGGGTTGGTGCTTGGGTGTGCTAACCAGTCCCCACTTCAGAACCTCCTGCAAAGCTGCCAGTTCAGAAAACAGCAGAATATGAGGACTCTGGAGGGCTCGGGGGCTGGAGGGACTCCACACTCCTCAGATGTGTCTCCATCATCTGTAAATGGGGACAAGACCCCTGCCCTCATAGACTTGTGATGAGGCTTAAATAATAAGATGAATCAAAGCACCTTCACAGAGTCATCAGCCAAGATCAGATTGATCCAATGGCTCCCAACCCTAGCTGAACATCTGAACATCCCAACCCTAGCTGAACATCAGCTGGAGAAGCCTTTTAAATAGGGTGCCAATGCCTACCCCTTACCTCTTCTTCACATGCCACCCTGACAGGTATTGGCCTGAAATCAGCAGTCTCCTAGCCACAGCCCAGAAAAGAAACCTGAAAACCACTGGACCAGGGTCTAAGAGCCTACGTCCTTCGACTCAGAATTATAAGGAAGTTTTAAACCGGAAGCCCCTGCCTCCATCTCTACGATAGTAAGACTGCTCCAAAGGTTACCTTGCTCCACACAGGGAGTTATAGGGCCATGGAGGGCCCAGGACCATGCCCAATCACACAGCTAACTCACCCGTGATCTTCCCCACTTTCATCCAGTAGCCTTCCACTTCCAGCCTAGAAGCTGGGTGCACCCTATTGTCCTGGGCTGCCTGTTATACAAATAATAGGTGCCAACACCAACGTAGCTGACATCACATTCAGACAAAGCTCTCTCTCTCTCTTGCTCTCTAAGAACCATGGTACACTGTATTGAAGGGGGGTGCTGCACCGTTCAAGGACTGAGGGTAAGAAAAAGGGAAGGACAAAGGGGGTAGCAATAAACAGAGAAGGGAATACCAGGGTTGCCCATGGAAACTGGCAGGGATAAGAAAAAGTAATCAGATCACATTTGACAGAAGAGAAAAATGGAGACAGCCAGCAGGGAGGATGGGGACCAAGCAATGCCAGCTTCCTGGCTTGGAATTCCATGTGCCTTTTCAGGACGCTGTGCCAGCTGGCAGGAGTGGCATGGAAGGCCCATGAGGGGGAACACAGGCAACAGAAGGTAACGTAGAGGGGTGTCCCAGAGCCCTCGGCCGTTTCCCAGAAAGCTTAAGTGTCTGGGCAGCACCCCCACCCTCAGACACTCCCCTGGGCCTCTGTCCAGGAAAGAGGCCTGAGAGATTTGGCCAAGGCCTCACCTGGGTAAAGGAGCCATCCTCGCTACACTCTGGGACAAACACTGCCTCCTGGGGCTTCTTGGCTTGCTCGAGGGCCTGAGCCCGCTCCAGGCGACACTTGCTCTGTCCGGCGTCTAAAAGAGGAGAGGAGTGAGCATATTTCATATTGCACTTGGATTCCACACTAGAGCCGCGGGACAAAATGGCTGCCCACTTCTGGAATACTGAGCGAAAATCACCCCCTGTGGGTGAGCCCACACACAGCCAACTGGTTTTCTAAGGCCGCATAGGCAGTGGCTACTGAGTACCACTCAGTCTCAATCTTCCTTTTCATGTTATTCCTAAGAAAGTGGGGGGTGGAGGTCATATTTATATCAGCATCAGCTTTTTTTGTTTTTTAAGGATCAGCTTATTTTTATTCCCTACTATTCCCAGCCCCTCCAGGATGATTAAAAAAAATCCACACTATTAATTTTCACTTGATTTATTAAAAACCATGTAAGTTCCAGGGGTCTCAAAGGTGTTTCATAATTTGGGAATTGCAAGCACTTTCTCTCGCAAATCATGACCTCAAGGGGAGTCTGTTCAGTCTTCCCTTGATATCTATAAGTCCAGAATCACAAGTTCAAACATCTAGCAGGCATAGGAAAGTGGTATAAATTTGAGGGACAAACAGGATGTAGGAAGAAGGGCATTCAGCTCAGAGATCCCTAGGAAGGCCGGGGGATGGTAAGAAACTGGAGAAAGCCTCCCCAGTAGAGCAGGGAGCTACGCCTAGATCCCGCCGTGTGTTGCCTCACAAGAACACAGAATTAATATTACCAGAGCTTCCAATGTTTTATGAGAAGTATAAATATCCAGATTTCATACTGAACCTCCCAATTTTTAAATGTTGTCTCAAATGTTTTAAATATTTTTAAACCTGTGAGCAGACCAAACAAAACACATTTGTTGGCCAATAACTTGGAATCCCTATTCAAGAGCCAGCAGTAATGGCTTGCCATTTGAAGCATCTCTATTTACCAAAAAAGTAAAAAAAATAGAAAGCACCAGTTAGAGGCAGCACATCTCTCTAAGCCCTAGCCCAGTGGCAATGTCTAAAGACAGGAAAGTGCTCAGTACTTCAGGTCGACCAGTCCTTCCTGTACTCTCGGTTGAAGGGATGGAAGGATAGGACAGCACACTGACAGAACAGACTCATTCCAAGCTCCCCCCCACCCTGCGTGAGGATGGCACCAGCAGGGAGCTGTGGTACCTGGGAGCTGTGGTGGAGGAGGGCTACACACTCACCTTTGCATCGACCTCGATGTACCACACCCAGTGCTGGGTCCCGGCACTTGGCCCGCTGGTACTCACACATGGACTCATAGGACCTGCCGTCTGAAGCGCAGATGGGTTTGGGTTGAGTCCTGGAGCAGTGGAGGTTGCACTGAGGGTCACGATCACTTATGAGAAACTGGATTGGAAAAAGTGAAAGGGTGAGAAAAGTAGGGGTGAGTCCATGACTTATAATAGCGCTTTACCCTTGAGAATCAAGTCCTAAAAAACCCTAGGAGAGCAACCACAAAAGCTAACCAAGGAAGGCATTCTCTATACATTACAAGAGCGAAAATCATGTCTAGTGTGTACAGAGCATTGACAGGAACTGTAGTAAGTAATTCACAAGCAAGGTCTCATTGGTCCTTGTAACAACCCCACAGAATAGGAACTATTTATTCTGTAGATTAGGAAATTGACACCAAGAGGACCTTGGCCTGTGTTGCAAAAGCTTTAAGTGGTGGAGGCTGAATTTGAACTTAGATCAGTCAGAGGTCAAATCAAGGCTTGGGCCCCTCTATCTAAGCAAAGGCTCATGTGACCTCTATTTGGGTCCATCCCCAAGTTAGGAACTCACTAGCAATTTTTGATCCCATCCTTGGAAGATTATACTTTCAGGGATCATTTCTACAGATCAGGAATCCCATCCTTGAAATATATATCTTTTTGTCAGAAAGTAGTTCTGAGCCCCAAATCTACAACTCTTCCATTTTTGACCTTTGCTTCCTGACAGAATACAATTTAAGTGGTTATCTGTGAGAAAGGGATTTTCCTGACCCAAAAGTCACACCAATAATCAGCTTGGAAAGTGCTGGATTAAACAAGTTCTTAATTACAAAACTTCTCAGATAACTTTGAGACATTCTCATGCAATGTGGATCCCCGTGAGGAACAGTAAATCTAAGATAGCTGCAGATTCTTAGCTAATCTTCCCACAGGGTGGTGGAATCTAATTCCCTCCACTTAAGTCTGGTCTAGCCTCAGTAGCTTGTTTAACCAATAAAACACAGTAGAAATGGCGTTTGGGACTTCTGAACAAAGCAGTCTTTCCTCCCAGGCATCTTGCCCCACTCACTCTGGTAGAAATATAAAAAGCCCAACAACCCTAAGTGAGACCACCATACTGTGAGGAAGCCCTCGCCAGCATGCGGTGAAGCTGCACAGAGAAATGCCCATGCCACTAAGAGAGGTGAGAAGTAACTGCACAAGAGACCCCAAGTGAGATTCGCCCAACAGAGGCCAGTCAACCACAGAACTGTGAGGGATAATATTGAATCTTTTAAGTCATTACATTCTGTGGTGTGTTGTTATACCACAATAGATAACCAGATCAAGGGGCATGAACTTATGTAGCCATGAACCATCTCCCAAACTTATGTAAGTAACCATGAACCCCTTTATCAGTGAACCCCTGATAACAACTACATATTAGAGTTAGATAACCATCATTGGGTCGTTTAGTCCACAAAGCTCTGTTTAATGATCCCTGGTTAGAATGCACGATGAGCAGAGCTCTGGCACTGCAGGCTATGCATCAGTGTGGGCTGAGAGAATGGAAGCCCCCTGGTAATGCATGGTGAGATCCTGAGCACAGCTCTGGTCTTTGGCCAGAGTTGACTGAATAGTCATAGAGGTGTGTCAGTAACACTTGTTTCAGTCCTATTATCTGGTCTTTTGTGTGATGCAAACAGATGGGCACCTGTTGACCCTTTTCCAGAAGAGCAAAGGGAAGTACCTTCAAGGCAGTGCTGGAAACACATACTCCATCCTGAACAAATTCAAGAGGGCTTGAGCCTGTCCACACACACTTCCTCCCAGCTCTAAAATCAGCCCTTCCATTGACCTCAAGCCTGGGTACTGGCTGCTCAGCACAGAGAGGGAGCAGTTGAGGGCTGGAGCCTCGTCAGTAGGGGCAACTGACTCCCTCTTCAGAGTCTCCTGGACTCCTGCACCCAAAACCCACAAGGAAATGGCCTGATAGTGTCGCATGATAGAATCATGTGTCCAGGTAAAGATCGGTCTTCTAGAGCATCACATTCTAGCTCCCCACCTCCCAGGTTGCCCCATGGAAGAGGAAAGACCTGAAGGGGCCACAGAGGGGGACAATCCACACCTCAACCCTGCTGTGCAGGGTCCCTGACCGCAACATCCCTCAGGCTGTCCCTGCTCAAAGTGACAGGGTGTCTGTCCTTGGAGACCTCCGCATGGTCTCTCAGGCCTGGCAGAATCTCTCTTGCCTCGGCTCTTACTGCGAGGTGCCTGCTTGCTCCCCGCTGGTGAAGCACACTGGCCTGCTTTCCAGTTCCCAAATGAGCATCAGTTGCTGTTACCTCCAGGTCTTGGACATACTGTCCTTTTTCCCTTCCCTCCCACCCCCTACTTGAGATCTTGGCTGCCGTCATCTTCCAGGAGCCTTTCCCTGACTCTCACGGGTAGGACGTGTTCCCTGAAACGCGCTCTCACAGCTCGTTTCTCCTTCGTGGCACTTAACATAGTTTGTGCTGATAACTATATTTGTGTGAACTGATTCAGTGGAGTTCTGAATTGGCACAACCCAAGAACAAATGTTTATTTTAATTTAGCAAATGTCTATTTAATGTCTATTTTACTTGCGAACACATCCCCAGCATGTAGCCAACGCTATGATGAACACAACCCTAAAGCAGCATCTCCCACACGGAAATATCCCCAAATCAGCTGGTGCAATGTGACAGCCTGGCTTCCCAGGATACTGGCACCCCCGGGGGTCACTAGGCCACTCCCCACCCCCAAGTCTCATTTCCTGGCTTTATGACCCCTTCAGAACCATTTCTAGTCTGTCTATGTTTCTAAAATGCAGCCAGACCTGCCTGGTGAAAGCAGAACACAAGTGGAACTAATAGCCAAGCTTCCAAGCACCCACAGCCTCCAGGCTGTCCAGCATATCACAACGACTCTCCCTGTCCAGGGAAATCTGGGCCATCATCTGAAATAAGACCCTGCTTTCCAGACCTATCTGAGAGGGTATTTTGCCACATGGATCAACAGGAGCCAGGCACAGCTTTCCCTTTATGTTCATGACAACACAAAAAAGAGAATATCTATACCTTCTAAGGCCTGGAAAGCCATGGACTCATCCTCAGTCACACATTTAGTAGCCAGAACTTAAATCTGAAGCGCAGAAATAATGAGATCTGGTAATTGCATAGCACTTACAAAATATTAACTAATTTAATCTTCACGATGACACAGAATGTTACAATCCTCATTTTACAGATGAGAAAGCTAAAGCTCAGAGAAGTTAGGTGACTTTCCCAAGGTTAAACAGCATCTGTGTGTCAGTGGTGAGATTGAGCCCCATGGTCCGGCTGCCAAGCCATGCTTCCAGCCACTCTACAACACTGCCTTCCATTATCACAGAGTAACAGTGCAAATAGGAACTTGATCCAATTGCAAAACTGGATTTACAAAGTCAGAAACTATTTACCAGGAGCCTTCTCTATGCCAGACACCAGTTGCTGAAAATTCAGATAAGACAGCCCTGTGCTCTAGGCAGGTTAAGTCCTAGAAAGAAACTCTTCCAAGACCTCTTATTGCCTTTCAAAAAGAAGGATCAACAAAGAACTTCCTTTCAAACTAAAGGAGGTTGGCCTGTGTATCTTCCACAGCTCAAGGGAGAGGAAAGCTGCAGGCATCATCCCGGTACTGAACCACAGGCCATAAATTTGCTTTGGAAATGGCGTGCTGGGGGCCACAGAGACACAAGGGCAGCTGTGCCAGAGACCAGCTCAACAACTAAGGGTACACTCAGTCTGCAAACAGGTTAAAGAGCTTCAGAAGCCCCACGCACCCCAACACAAGGACTTCCTTCCTGCTTCGGAAGTACTCCCTAAGACTCCATCTAGAAAGTATGGGTCCCTGAAGCCAACAAGCAAATTCCAGGACAACATGGGACCTTCATTAAAAACCATTTTCAGGCCCTCCCTGGTGGCGCAGCGGGTTAAAGCACAGCACTGAGAATCTAAAGCTGCTTCCACATGAGTTCGATTCCCGGAGGTGACCACATGGCGTGGCAGACCTCTCCTGACCCACCCACTGCTCCCCTCAGCAGTGTACTTCATCGATCTGCCTGTTCTGCTCCCCGCTCTGTCTCTGGTGAATCCTCTCACCCTCCACATCTCTGGCCTGTACCCCAGTTCTGTATGAATAAATAAATAAATCTTTAAAAAAAAAACCATTTTCAATTATCTGTGCTGTCTCTTTCATCTGTTTTAGGAACAGTGTGTTTGTGATTCTTTCCCAAAAGGTAATGGTCTGTATAAAGCAGACTTTTCATCGAGGGAGTCTGCCCTACTGGCATCACCCAAGTCTCCAGGGACCTGCAGATATTACTTTGGGGCCACAAACACCGCTTGTTCAGCTGCCCATCCATGACTTAACAAGTGGGCCCCAATAAGCCAGCACTGGCTGAGGCATGGGAGACAGACACAACCAGCACAGTCCCGCCCTCAGGGAACTTGAACTCTAGGTAGAGACAACAAACAGGCAGATACTGGCCACACTGCAAGTCAACAGGATGCTGCAGAACCAAGAGAATGGCCCTTCCTAGGGGCTCTGCAGGGCTGCAGCCCCACCAGCCAGTAGAACTTTCTGCAGTGATGCCACAGGCGCATGTGGCCTTTGAGCACTAAGATACAATTGGTTTAAACTGCAGAGTTAATGCAATGGAAGGACTAAGTTTTCAGTTAGCTAAATTTGCAAGAGCAGAGGTGGTGGTGGCTACCATATTCAAGAGCTAACTGACTGCATCCAGGGAAAAGGAAGGATTCAGGTCTTGAGGGCAATTTCTACATTTTGAAGCTGGACACCAACTCAGTTTATTACTTATGGGTCAACAGTAGGAGTTCATCACTGTTCACCTAGAATCACAAAGGCAGCTTTTTGCACTCTTCTGTGGGAGACAGGAGGACAAGCTACAAGCCCCCAGCACAGGCCCATGAGCTGGGTCAGTCCTCTGGGCACACAGGCGAAACTCAGAGTCTCAGTTGTGCTACAGGTCTTGAACCCTGGGCCACAGAAGTCTACGATGGACCCAAGAGCAACCATTTAGAGTGGCAATGTTCGGTGCTGGTAGGGCAAGCCATTGCCCCGAGCAGGCGA